CCCTAAGGGGATGCCAAGGAGTGGAAATGGGTGACAAGGGCTGGGTATAAAAACTGTGGAAGCTCCTTGATGAAGGGAATCTTGGCCCCAGTGGAAGAGTGGGAATGTGTGGGGCAGCTGCTAATGCAGCACACCACAGTAAACTCCAAAACATTAACTGGTGAACAGGACAAGATCCCAAAGGAGACCCAATGGACACAGGGTAGAACTTGGAGGATCCTGATGCAAGCACCTTCTTTGGAGGTGAGCTACACTGCAGCCTCTTGGAGGACATCGAGGTTCCCCCATCCCATAGGAAATGGCATCCAAAATTATATACCTGTCCAATAGGCCAAGCTCTGTGGAGGCAGGGGCCTCATTTATCACAGGCATGTTTCTAGATCAGTACCTGAGCACATAGTAGATGGCTTGGATGTCGTGCCTAGCAACTCAGGGCCCTGACCCAAGGAGCCATGTTACCCCACCTGGCACCCCAAAGAAGTCTCCAACTAACCTATTCTTGCTTCTTCACAAAGCAAGCTTAGGGCAAGAGGGCTTTCCTCAAAGGGAAACCCAGGCTCATTTAATGTGCTCATTTAATGTAGACAGACCTAGATGTTTTTGGTTCTTCTGCAAGACAATAATTTGAAGAATTTGGCTTCTTTTGTGAGAACTGGGTTCACAGACTGATGTTCAGCTTGTGAACTTAATGTAGGAAATCTACTTGTCTCACCAGTCAAGTAAGAGAATCACATTCTGGTCCATTGGGCCCAGCATGGTAACCATCCATGCTAGCTACCTTTATCCACATCTGAGAGGTGGCTTATCACAGGGTTGTCTTTCTAGAGGCTTTGTGGGGTCTATGGAACAGTACTAGAGAGAACCAGGTTGGTGAGATTCTGAAGCCTTTTCCCCACAGACCTCTCTAGTCCCTGGAGGTACCTCTTCCCTTTCAAAGCTCTGTGACCATGGGTAAGAACTCAAGCTCTTTTACATAAAAATTATCTGTGCCACAAGATGCAAGTGATGATTAAATAATGCACAGAAAGTGCTTAGCGCCAGGTACTTCAGAGGACCTTAAAAAATGAGTGGCAACCCTCACATTGTGCATATTGCCCCATAGACCCACAACTGCCTATGGCTCCCAAGTGTGTGTGCAGGTGGTAGACTTTAAAATCTCTGGACGCTGACTCAAAGACAGGCAAGAGATATGTCACGTAGGCCAGAGACAACCCTGAGGTCAACTCTTCTTCCAGGAGGGAGATGAGCAGACAGGGAAGTAGTGAGATGAACATGGGAACAGGCAGAGACACAAGACACCAGAAAAAGGTAGAATAACCAGAGGCCTACCTCCAAAGAACCAAAACAGGGCTTAGACGTCAAGCTAAAAGATTCCTCTAGGCCCCCGAGCCACAATGGGTAATTCAGACACACAAGAACAGGCAGACTGAGTTGAACATTTTAGGGACCTCGGTGTGAAAGGGTTTACTCCTTATATATCATGCCCTCCTCATGGTCCCTCTCAACTCTAATGGGGACAAGCAAGTACCTCAAGGGTGCAAGGGGTCACACATGTTTTCCCAGCTTGCACTCAGTAACTCCAGCCTGCACCCCTAAACAGCACCAGGCAGATGGTGTGTTCACAGTTCATGTTTGTCACCCTTTCCGACTGGGCTGCATGTGACCTGGGAGATCTCTCCTCTCCCCACCCTGAACACCCAAATTATGTACTGCATGGGGCTCACTGAGGATGTAGTATAAAAATAGAGCGATGTCTGTTCCAAAAGAAACCCAAACCTGAGATGAGTGAAGAGCCAGACTCCTGCCTCCATCTGACTCTTCCCCCAGGTGCCCCACCACCACGCTCTGGGGCAGAGATATATGTCTGAGGTGGGCTGACAAGTGGTGCTGTGTCCAGTCAGACCGTGAATCAGTCTGTCCCACTGACGGAATGGAGCCAGGTGAACCATGTGGCTGCCCGTGCACGAGGGCTGTGCTGGGTGCATCCTGTTGAAGCCCAACGCCACTACAGGGTGGAGTCCATCAGAGGATGGCCATTCTCAGGAAGCATGATACGAGTGCTGGCCCCAGCCTGGATGGAAGGTGTGTAGCGGTCGGAGTCCTGGGTGCCCCGGCGGGGAGACAGGCAGCAGAGGAGGCGGCGGAAAGTACGGCGCATCTCAGCATCGCGGCACGAGTACACCACAGCGTTGACCAGCGAGTTGGCTTCGGCCAAAAGCAGGAAATACTTCTCCACAGCCAGAACATTGCAGGACTTGCAGTCCAGACCGTCTAGGAGCAGCACCACCTGGCCTGGCGTCCAGCAGACCACAAATGCCCCTGTGGGATAGAGCCAGAGGGCTGAGGAGACCTGGCCACCACCTACAGCTTACCCTGGAGCTGGAAGCGTCACCAGAGCCAAGGCAGCAGCAGCTGGCCTGACAGAAAAGGCAGGCAGCTAAGTGGGAGACCTTTCTCTGATTTGTCCACCCAACTGGCGCACACCCATTGCCTTTGAGTCGATTGGGATTCATAGTAACCCTCTACGACAGAAGATCCTCGGGTAGTGTAGTGGCTACACATTGGGCTGCTAACTGCCAGGTCAGCAGTTCAAAGCCACCAGCTGCTCTGCTGGAGAAAGAAGCTTTCTACTCTAATAAAGATTTAGTCTCAGAAACCCACCAGAACCAGCTCTATTCTGTCCTAGAGGGTCCCTATGAGTCAGAATTCACTTGATCACACTGAGGTGTTTTTTGGTTTTGTTTTTTTGGGGGGTAGGACGGTGTTTGTGATGACAACTTAGGGCTTCCCAAATTGATGTCTTACAGAAGCAGATGCCACATTTTTCTCCCATGTTGCTGCTGGTGGGCTTGAATCACCTCCCTGCAGTTAACAGCTAAGTGCTTAATCCACTGCACCACCTGGGCTTTGGAAATTTCCGGTGGGGGAGGTTTGTTCTATGAGGGAAGAAGGCCACTGGGGATAGGCCAGTTACTCAGTGAGAGGGAAGGATGACTTGGGTGTGGGCAGACCCTCATGCGAGGGGCTGGATCCCTTCAGCCCCCTCAACCCAGTCCATTCTGCACACATCAGCCAGCATGAGCACAATACTCCTCGCTCAAAATCTCGGAGGGGCTGCCCAAGCCTCATCCGCTGCCCTGGCCACCCCGCCGCCGCCTCCTACCCCCACCCGGCCTTGACATTCTCACCTTCCTTGGGGCACTTTTGGTGGGCCCTGGCCTAATCCTGCCTTGGGACTCTCCTCTGCCTGGAACTCCCCAACCAGACCACTTGTTTTATTTATTGTGGGGTTGGGGAAGGTGGGGGTCCCCTTGAGCCCTGGGCCAGTTTGGGTGGGGGAGGACTCACCCAGAATGATGACCACAGTCTTGACCAGGCTGAGTGTGGTCTCACGGTAGCGGGGGTGGCAGCTGACATGCTCGGCCATGCGCTGCACACGACGCCGCACGTAGAAGAAAATGCGGGTGTAGACAGCCACCATGAGCAAAAAGACGAGCAGGCTGGACAGGGCCCACACAGCCAGGTAGGAGCGGCTAAGCAGGGGCGCCATTCGTGAGCAGCGGTCCAGGGCACAGAGGCAGTGCCAGGAATGGGCAGGTAGGAGCCCCAGGCCAAGCGCAGCCAGCCACACGCCCACAATGAGCAAGACGATGCGACCTCGGGGCAGGCGGCTGTGCAGCTGCACGGCCATCACGCTGCGGTGCCGCTCCACCGCAATGGCCAGCAGCGTGGCCACCGACGCGGTCAGACTTGTGTCCAGCAGGCCCTGCCGCACGAACCAGCCCTTGAGGGAGAGATGGGCTGTGCGCGGGCCGGTGTGGAACATGAGGAAGAGGTAGGCCACACCTGCGAAGAGGTCGGCGGCCGCCAGGTTACCCAGTAGGTAGTAAATGGGCTGGTGGAAGCGGCGGTTGGTGGCGATGGCAGCGATGACCAGCAGGTTGGTCAGCAGCACCAGCACGCTGACCGTCAACCCCAGCGCCACCACGACCACATCTTTGGGCCGCCAGTGGGAGCTGAGCTCCTTACCACTGTTGTTGTAGAAGAAGCCGATGGTCTCGTTGTAATAGCACTGACCCATGGTAGCCATCTACGGACACAGAAGGAACGAATGGTCAGCTGTGCTCGCTGGTGGGTGGGTGGGGGTGGTGCCCAGGATAGGACAGCAGGTAGAGCGGCAGATCGGGAAGGGCAAAGCCCTCGGGCTCTATCTAGACCTCCCCAAAACGCAGGGTAGGCAGCTGTTTCTCCTTCAACTCTAGGTTTAGAAAGGTGACGCCCCGGTCCAGGGATTGGCTCGTTTATGTAGTTTTCAACCCCAGCCCACGTGCCCTAGGGAGAGGGAGGGGGAGGGGCCAGGCAGGACAAAGGGGCGTGAGCTAGTAGGTTAGGGAGGGTCAGCTTGGTGCTGACCACGGCCGCGAGCAGAGGCAGGGGTGTGCGCGGAGGGAGAGGTCAGCGCTGGGACAGCAAGGCAGTCCATGCAGGGCGTGACGGTGACCAGATAACTCCGGGGGGGGGAGGGCAGCGAGGCGCCCCAAGAAACCGGGCTCTGGGCACAAGTGCTTCTCGTGCAGGCAGGATGTGGGGCGGTTGGGGGTGGGACGGAGAGCCCTGGTGGCCGCGGGGACAAAGGCGGCGGCCCAGGGGCGCCGGCTGGTCAAACCAACTGACGCCCCCAGGCTGGGGGAGGAGGCGGAAAGAGGGCGGCGCCCGCGCCCCGCAGGCACAAGCCCGCCCCGACTGAGCAGAGCCGCCCCGAGAGGCCGCGGGCCGGGCGCCTCCTCCCTGGTACCCGAGCCCCTACCGTTCCAATGCCGGCCTCACCTGAGCCGCCCGTCACTCAGCGGACGGGACGGACTCCTGGGAGGTCAGGGCGGGCCAGAAGCC